AGACATTATTTTTAATTTTCTCTCCTAGTTCCACGATGTATCACTTTTCAGGATCCTTCCTACACTAACCTGCTGGCCTCATCACAAGCCACCTTCCTGGGATGATGTTTAGAGAACACAGAGATGACCCAGAACAAAAACGGGGACATGAGAGCTTTGCACTGGTAAGGATTTGGGGCCCTTTTTTCATGAAGATGAGGTGATGGGGTTTAAACGAAAATAATAAAATTAATATGGAGAAGAGCATTTATAGCATGCCTGGCTTCAGTGGGAATCAGGGCTGCTAAGAAGGACAGGAGGGAAGTGAGATGGGAACTGTAGTTTTGCAAGAGAGAGCAAAATTTGGGCACCTCCATTTACCCTTCATCCTTGCACAGCTTCCAGCAAACACTCTCTCACATCCCAGAGACATGAGATTGCATCCCAAAGATGCTGCTGTCCAAGACTTCCTGGCAAATTTCAGCTCTTCTGCTGTCAGGACACCCTTCCCCTCCTGATGGCTGTGGAGACCTCCTCCCAGTTCCACTGCAGGCACCACGCAGACCGTCTGCTTGGCTACACCCAAAATCCCAGGGGTTTTGGGCATCCTGGGGTTGGGCCAGCCCCAGGAGCACAGCCAGCGGTGGTGATTCAGCAGCTGCTACAGGAGTGAGTCAGGCACCTTTCTAGAGAAGTGCAGCATCTTCTGATAAAAGGACGAGCAGGATGGCCATGGGACAGAGCTCAAGTCCAAATAAATACCTTTTTCAGTTATTTTGTTCTATGGTATCAGTCATCACTAAAGAGCAATAATCTACAAAATTAAGTAGCCTGAAAGAAAGAAATTCCTTTCACCTTGACACAGAACAAGTTTAGAAAAGCTCCGTTTCTTTCCTATTATCACCAGTAGAGCCAGTCTACAGATTGATGAAAAGTGACGAAAAGTAGGTTGCATTTTTCAGCTGGTTTACTGAGCTGCCAAAACCAGAATTTGCACAGCCAGAGCAAATCTACTCCCCGTGAGCAGCGGTAGCACTGAAACACCTTTCCCCAAAGTAACACCCACGGCAGTCAGAGGGGTGAGAAACCCCCCACATCCATTCTCCCCACAGGAGACCTGCCAAACTTCACATCTGACATAAGGCTATCGTACTGAGTGTTAAAAACTCACCAGTGCTATTGCTCATGGTTCTTGTCGGTGTTTTGATCCCAGGTACCTGCGATGCCAGCAGCTTCTGAGCTCCTGAGTAGGCTCTGCCACCTGCTTCTGAGTGTGGAGAAGGAAGATGGGCTGCCCTTTTTATCAGTGCCTAGCTCTGAGGTGTCAGCAGGTCCA